CACATAGAGAACTGCTCCTGTCTGTGCTCCTGCTCTCTGAAGATGCTGGCAATCGTCAGTGTTCCCCTTCTTATCCTTAACTTGTTTAACCTTTTGTAATATACTTCTTTTACACATATAAACATAACCATTTTCACTTCTTTAAACAGATATTCATTCCTTGCAACAGACTACTTATTACCCGATACCTTTATACCAGAGTTGTATGTCTTAAATTTTCTTCAAGCATTTTTCCTTCTTTAGTAAATATTCTCCAAAGTACATAAATTCTCAATAGTAGCACCAGTTCTGTGGAAATCAGCCTGGTCTCTTCCCTGATTGTATTAAGATGCTAAAACAGAACTGTTCCAGAAGGTGTTATAATTAGATTGAGCCATCTCTGTTTCAGGTTTTGGGTTGTTTTATTTTTGAATTGTTAATTTATCATAATCATATTTTATGCTGATTTCATTCCTACATTGGATGTTACACTATTTTTTATATTATGTTAACTGTCAAGAGTTGTGATATAAATGTAATTAGTCATCATCATCTCATCAACTTGTTACAGGTTTTTTTTTGACATTTTGTGTATACTCTGTAATTGTATACTCTATTTTCCTATGAAACACAATTACCTTGGTCTTTAATACATTAATTTTAGATCCATACTCATTGTTGCATCATACAATCTATCTAACAATCACTGCAAATCAACCTCAGGCAACAAAATGTCATCAACTTTGTTATTAAGCCCACATTCCCTCATTTCAATTTCATCTCAAATCATTTAATTTTTTTTTTTAAATAATTCACTGTCCTTGAAGATTCTTGCTTAACCCTCTTCACCCACCCAATTTTTTTTTTGCATCAATATTACTCTAGTTTCTCTGCTTCTTTTAATCTTTTTTATTTTAATCTTAACTGTTCCTTGTTTTCTGTTACGATATTCTTTTAAACCATCTATTTATCTGTATATACATAATAAAATATCTTTCATCCTGATTTCTTGCAATGATTATTCTCTTATATGAACTTATCTCATCTAGAGCTTCTGTCATCATTCCACCAAGAATTCTTTTTCACACTTCCCAATAGCATAACTCCACATACCTCTGTGTCACTATGTAACATATTTTCACTCTATTCCAAGCAGCCCCTATATTCTCTTTTCTTAGGCACACCTTCCACTCATTCTGTGAGAAATTAATCTATTTTCTGATACGTTTTTCATACAGGACTCATACGACTTCTCATACTTGCTTTTCCTGTTGTTCTATTTTCATTCTATTTTCTTTCATTTCTTGCTTTAATGTCTCTTTCTCCCAAAATCCACTCTTGACTTTATCCCCTATTCGGAAATTCTTATCTCTCTTATATCTTTCACTGATTTTCTCAATCTTCTATAATGAATTATTAAATCAATCATCCTTTTGGATTTATATTCATTCCCTTGGCGTGCATACATAAAAATGGAGTTATGCTTAAAGCACATATTCAAAACAAGTATTCATAATTCACCATTCTCATTCAATCTCAGGTTTCTGAATGTCCCAATATTTTTTTCTATACTGTCTTGTTTTGTTTCACCATCCTTGCATCTCACCTAACAGAATATTTTGTCTCCCTCAGATCACATTCATTTGGAATGTTCTACAATTTTCTCCAAAACTTCATCTTTGGTTCTTCCATTATCCGCCTTCACTAGAATTAATATGCAACTATTACCAGCCTATGGATACTCTTGGTTTCCCCAAAACACAGAATTCCTTTCCTTTCCTTTCCTTTCCTTTCCTTTCCTTTCCTTTCCTTTCCTTTCCTTTCCTTTCCTTTCCTTTCCTTTCCTTAATTCATGTAGTTAACCATTTACAGTCGTCCACATGGTATGGTCATCACATGATGGAGCCACAGATTTCTCTCTTCATTGGCTATGATAGCTGTGGTCAATCAAGGCTTTCATTTAACTGTTTTTAGAAATATAGAAAAGGTATAGATTAGCAGCCTAAGTCACATCCACAGCACATGCAATACTACCTGCTAATGCTAAGAGATGTACATATATTCACCCAAATTTCTTAACTCTTTCTTATATAAAACTCCAGACCAGAAATGCTTTATGCTCAGTCTTTTACAAACATCAGAATCTCTGCAGAAAATGGTTCACTATGGGTCTTGCTCAAGAACCATCTAAGGATCAGCCTATGTTGAATACAAGTCCTATTTAGTTCAACAGATGTATTGCTTGGGAAAGATGGTATCCGATGTTGTCCATCCATGAATGGAATGAAAATCATGTGCCTTCTGTATGCCCCCAAATATTTCTGGATTTGGGGAGGGCATAGCAGTTCAGAAAGAAAGCAAGACTTTTTTTTATATTGATGAAAGCTCATGTGAGTTATATTACATCTAACTTTCAGAAAACCTATGACTGGAGCTGAGAACTATATGCCAACATATGATTAAAAATTAGATAAGAAATGTTAGAACTATTTTCAGAGACTTTATCTTGCTCTGAATAGTAGTAGAAATCTCGTACAGACAATTATCAGGTAAAAGAAGGTAGTAGGCAGAACAAAACTATAAAAAAATATCCATTCAAGGTGGAGGGAAGAAGGGAAACAATTGGATTTTGCTGAAATTCTAATATCAGTATTTCAGTTTCATACACACAAACAGGTACATTCTGTTCTGACTAGGAATTATTATTTAATTTTTTCCCCATGTATGTTAGCTTTCCTCCATAAAT